CTTACACATTCTGAAAACAAGATGATTATTCTTACACAGTCAGTTCTTGTTTAGTAAATCAGTCTCAAAACAAGATCAAAAAGACTTTTTGGCTGATATAAGATTTTAAAACTTGGTAAGATGGACAGTTTTTGCAGTGTAGTTATTAAACCCTAACTGATGCAGTGAGAAGCTTTTTATTTGTTAATCATTCATGTCAAAAGACATGTAAAACATGTTACTCTGTTTTAGAAGGGTCAATTATTGGCATTCATCATGCAGAGGAGATTCCAGAAACTACAAAAAAAAAAAAAGAGCTCCGCCGTTTTTGCTGAGAGTTCCCACAGGTCCTTAAAACATCTTAAAAGGCAGTTATTCATCAATCCAAAATCAAYGCCTTAATTAGCCTTAAAATGTCCTTAATCAGTCTTTCAGATGTCTTAAAAATGTTCACACGTTGCAAACAGGATGATTTTAATGCGTCTGAAATATTAAAACAATTAGTAACATTTATTTTTAATAATTTACCAAATGCTTCTCACAGCTAGTTGGTTTTGTGTTTAAATAAACATTTGGGTAAAATTGTTGCTAACAGGGTTTTGTGTTTTATTGTGAAGTTGTTTTTAAATTTAATTTCAAATGGCATTAAAGAGGTTTTAAAACGTCTTAAATTTAACTTCTCTTCAGCTGGAAGCCTGTGGCAGACAGATTCCTTCAGGAACAACATCTGTTTTATTTCTATCCATGAGTTTWTAACTGTTTGATGATTGGTCCATTCCATTTACATCGTATTCCTGGGAGGTGGTAGTGGTGTCTTTTCTCAACAAACTGTGAAACTGCATTTCAGTTAGCCTACAGGTGCTTGTTTTGCTGCCACTGACCCACTTACAACATGTTACAATATCAATGAATCATGCAAATAAACATTGATTTTAACACAAGACACGCCTACTTGTATGAGTGATTGAACATGCACAAAACAATGATAACTGACAGTAAAAATTATGGAGTAAACTTTTWAAAGCTGCGAGTAGCCGACATCTTGAAATCAAAACTGGATACTTGCAGTCGCTTCCACTAAATAAATAAAACACTTGTTTATTCCACAGGTGAACAGGTTAATTAAAAACAGGTTTGTACAATATATATTTGTTTTCAAAAATGCATTTTCTTCTGTAACAGCAATACGCTTGATTCTTCTTGCATATTAATCCCTTCACAAGCTTCACAATGTTAAAAGAAGAAATCAGTGCAAGAGACAAGAACTTTTGAGCAGGGAACTCAAACATGATTTTTTTCAGCTGATCAAAAGTTTAAGACCATAGC